CTCTCAGCTGTTTGCCACCAAGTGTCCTTTCTGTCTTACATTTCATTCAAAGCGCTTCGCAATTCTGTCGGATTGAAATATATGATCATTGGATTTTTTTTGACTTTAAAGGTCCCCACCGTGAGCCCTCCAACACAAAAATGCATTGGGATCTAATGCTGCGTCTAATGTATGCATGCCGCCTTTAGTATGGTGAAATAAACTCATGCTTGCAATTTCGCATCGCAAACTTTTAGAGGGTCAAGTATTTAAATTTTAAACCCATTTTGGTAGTAAACACACCGCACCGTCTTTCTGTCCGGTACGCATATGATCACAAGGTGCATTGTGTTCAGAGAAAGAGAGGAAGAAGTCTGAAGCATGATCTCGATTTCGTCCTCCCGCTAAGTCCAGTGCTGTCCTAAGGACAATAGAGGAGGAGGGATTCATAGCTGCGGAGAGGACTCCATTTCGTCCGCCAGCAAATGAAATGTAATACGGAAGCAACCACCAGTAGGTTTCCTTGACAAGGATGCTCCTATCACCCTCCTCGAGCAGCCTCACGTGGGTCAAAAAAAAAAAAAAAAAAAAGAAGAAGATAGCGGGCGAGGAGTCGACCCTACTGAAAAGGAGGGTTTTCACAGTCAGCGAAGGGGCTATTTCGTCGGGCGTCTGCGGATTCATCAGGGTCGCGAGGGCTCAAATAGTCTGCTGAGGGGTTTTCTACCAAATGAATGCTTCAAAAAAGCCATAGGCTATCTTCGAAACAAGTTGAAAAAGTGATTTTCATTGGGGGCACCTTGTTGGGGGAAAGGGAGAGAACGGCAAAGAAAGCATGAATGTTCCCTTAATTGCACACATCACCTATTCATCAAACCATCAGCCCATTGACTTGGCTTTCTTTTGCCCATTGATTTGGCTTTCTTCTTCCTTTTTTCTTTTTGGACCTCGTTGTAGAAAAATATTAAAATAAAGAGCATTGGTCACCGAATGACTGGTACTCTTCCCACTGTGGTGTACTGTAGCAGGACTCCGTAATTGGGATGAGGTCCCACTATGAACGGGACCGCAGGCATGACATCCCACCGCCGGGACTCTAGGCACGAGATCCCACCAATGGGACTCTCAGGCATAAGGTCCAGCTATCGCTGGGATAATTCCAGCCATGAAGTCCTACCCAGTTGCAAGACCCCAGGAGGCATAAAGTCCCACCCGCGGGACTCCAGGAATGCAGTCCCATGGAGTCCCAGCCCATCGGCTTTCTGGTGAGCAAACTTCAACGGGCTGATCCCCAATCTCTATGTATTCCAATTGAAATGAAGACAGTCACATCGGGGGTAATCCCTAGTGGGTGGTGGAAAAGCTATGAGGGCATCCGCGGACGTGACTCCAGAAACGAGGTCCTACCGCACACAATGTGCTCCAGCATATCGAGTCCTATACACTCATGTTGAGGTTCGTGTCGTCTTTGGGAACGACCCTAGGGCTGGGAAGCTGGATGATTAATAAGGGGATCTCCCTATGACCCAGGCTACCAGCCGGGCCGCCGGGGTCACCCTATTTCCCCGGGCGATCCGGCCATGCAAGGACCAGGAAAGGTTCCGGCCATAAAAAAATAAAAAAAAGTATGTTATGCAGAAAAATAAACTGAACAACTTTTGCCTCAGGATCACATCGAAGTAAGTTTTTTGTTTTGTTTCTTTTTTTTTTCTTTTGCCCGGCCGGCCAAGTGGTCCCGGGCCACTCTGGCAGCCTAGCCCATGACAGAATTTAGTGACCAGATGCATGATGACACTGCTCCTAGGTTGCCAACCGCGAGGCGCGAACATCCCCGCAACCGCAGCTGCACATCATAACTTCTTTTTTTTTTTAAGACTACCCTGGCCCACTAGGGGAAGCAATGTCACTGATGTGTGCCTCCTCTCCCTACCATCTTCCCCCGAACATAACGCACCCTAAAAATGAATGTATACAAGCGATATTTGTGGCCAGATACAGCCAAAATAAGGCTGCGTTGTGTTCGGGGGAAGACGGTAGTGGGCCTGGCGATGGTCGCTCTGGTCTATTGGTGGAAAGCAGCACCATAATACCTTTGGTTTGAAGCCGCAACCTCAGCTGCACATCATACATAACCTTTTTTTTTTCTTTTGTAAGACAGCTGTGGCCGACTACAGTCTTCCCCCGAATACAACGCACGGTCGGTCATTAAAGCCGTATTTGAGGCATCTTTCAGTCTAGATACAGCTATAATGACCGTATGTTGTATTTGGGGGAAGACTGTAGGGGAAGCGATGTCACTGGTGTGCCTCCTCTTCTCCCTAGTGGGCCTGGGTATGGTCCCTCTGGTCTACTGGTGGAAAGCAGCACCATAATACCCCCTCTGGTTTGAAAAACCGAATGATAAAATGCCAAGTTTCACAAATAGCCATAGGGAAATGGCTGACAGCCCGCCTGTCTATTGACGCCCCGACTACCATTGTTTCTGAAAATAGTACATTGCTCTTATCACCGTATGTGGAGCGATTTTCAAGCCCGATACATGACTGTTATTCCTTTATATTGAGCAAAAAATACAAGCCATAACTATAATAATTGCCCATCCATCGCACATGTGAGAGGAAGACAGTTCTGTGCGAATGGCCTGTGGGACCAAATTGCACAGAAATGTTTTCAGGAGCCCACCTCACACTTTTCAATTTTTATTTTTATTTTTTTTTTGAACAAGTGCTCCAGTCTATTCGTGGGGAGCAGCACATGCTGGAAACCAGGCCCCGTGTCCCACCACCTCACAAATAGTACCATGCCTCTTTCTTAAAATAATTGATGCATATAATCGCGAGCACAATATCCAGAACAGGCCCTTATGGCAGTCAGATACATCCAGAAGAGTCCTCCAATTGAGTATCGACTAGCACATGGCCACGACGTCCCCTGTTCTTCATTCCCGGGCCATACGGCTTTTCATTGGATTATTACCAATTTTTCTGTCCTGATAAATTAGTAATAATATACCTGAAAATTTGTGAAAGCGTATTGATTGCCAATTTGGTGGCAAGGTGCATGGCCCACCAGACGACGGAAATCGGCCAATCGTGATGCAACTAGGAGAAAGTGAATTGCAGACCGCGCACCACGCCATAAAACCTTAAACCACCAGTACTTGGCCCATACATGGTCCGCGGGGCTTTCCCATTAACGTGCCGCGACCCATACGGGACAAGGCCGAAACGGAGAAGGGCCTCACAGGCCCATATGGGACAAGGCCGGTACCGGGTGGCGGACATTACCGGCCTACAGTTTGGACCTGCCCGCCGGGCCGTGGCAACTATACGGAAAACTCTGACAAAGCTCACCGTAGAAAACCAAAAAGAAAAGGGAAAACAAAAAAGCCAAACAGTGCGCGCCGGCCATAGGAACGGACCACATGATGTCCGTTCAGTTTGACCACCTATCAGGCCGAGGTGCCACACACCCGGCTACCCGTACGGGTACCCGAATTATCACGAAAGGACAGGGTGACTCAACACGCTCGGCAAAAAACGGCGCGCAGGGTATACATTCAGGCTCTGCTTCAATAGCTGGGCCAAGTTCTGGTGGTTTAAAGCCAAACACATCTTCAATGCCGGGGGCAATTTGCAGCATAATGCCGCAAATTGTCGCCGATCATTGATCATGTCCGTAGGGTGATGGTTTAAAGCCAAACACATAATGCTTCCACTGTGTGCTATTGTCGCCGATCATTGATCATGTCCGTAGGGTGATGGTGTATTCATAGTAGTGCTCTTTCCACTGATTCTGGGCGTAATTGCATCCAGATACATACGGCAGTGACTGACTATAACTGTGGTCAGATATGCACACGAAGGACCTCATAGGGTGAGTATGCTCTTTCCACTGATTCTGGGCGTAAGTGCGTCCAGATGCAAGGACCTATCGGGGTTAACATTTTCACCTGGACGCAATTACGCGACTATCGGGGTTAACATTTTCATCAGGTAGGCTGTAAAGTTGATATCGAGGGTGGATCCAGATACATCTGGTCTTGCATCCAGAGGACAGATTTGCAATTGCAACAAGAGTCGCGGCCTTTCAAGACCAGATTTTCAGGGCGCACCGCACTGGCACTATGCTCATGCGAACAACGCACGAATGTGACCATGATTATGACCAGGTTCTTGCTTTCGAAGCACAAGCATATTACCAGTGGGGCCGGGTTGTCAGAATCTGCTGAATCGTGCTTAGCACAGTTTGCAGACTTCTCTCCTTTTACCTTTTTTTTTTTTTTTTTTTTTTCAGAAGACGGCATACGTTTTTTTTTTTGAAATATTTTTTTTCCCACCTTCTTTTCTCATTTTCTGATTTATTTAATTTATTTTTCTATTTATTCTAAAAAAAAAAAAAAAAAAATTTTTTCTTAGATTTCTCTCCTTTCATCTTTTTTTAATCTTTTTTTTTTCTTTCCTTCTTCCTCCTCTATCATTTTACACCATTCTCAAGTTATGAAATGGGTTGTTGCATGCATGTCATCATACAAACTTTGTGAGAGGCCGAGAGTAAATTCTAATGGTGACCTATCCAACTGCCATCACTCTCTGCAGGGCTACAGACTGTCCATACATTCAGTCATGCACACTTTATACACCATGCTATACAATTGTTCACCTGTGAATAATCCAACTATGAACTTGTGCAAACAACCCTCCACCATAGTACCTTCATCGCAGTTCTTCTCTCTCTCTCTCTCTCTCTCTCTCTCTCTCTCTCTCTCTCTCTCTCTCTCTCTCTCTCTCTCTCTCTCTCTCTCTCTCTC